ACTAGAGGTAGCTGATAGGAAAGGCATTCAGAAGTTCTGGCAGTTCATCAACTCTTCCTTGCCACCTGCACGAAGAATTGTAGTTTGGATGCTTCCCTGAAGCTAAATTTGTGCCAAAAATACACACTGGTGCGGCAATAGCGGGCAGCAGCTGACACCTGGGGTGGCGGTTGTCAGCAGGGTTTCTCTGTGGCCAAACCCCTCTGCTTTAGAACTTGAGTTTGTGTTTTCTTACCAGAGCTTAAAAACTAGAATGTTATGGAAGTATTTTGGAGGAGAAACATAAAAGTTCTGAACATGTATTTAAATGAATATGGGATTTAAGTATAACTTGAAGTACGGAGGTACGATGCATAGCAATTTGACTTTTAACATCTAAGAACTGAGTCTCTTCCAGAAAAGGGTTGATCTGTCTGACCCACTGGGGCATCCTATAATGTGTAGTTATATTTATCTATCAAAACAAATCAAATCTGCATCAATGTATTTTATAATGAAAGCTTTTCGATACTGGCTATATGGGAACCTTACAGATACTACAAAATAATTAAGCGAAACGGTTTCCTGCATGCCAGAGAATTATTCAGCATCAAAAAAGGAGAAGAATAGAACTTCGAGGACCCTGTGTAGGTGCAAAATTACTCCCTTTGTCTGACTTCGTGAGGTAAGTGGGGTTTTGGTTTGGGCCCCCCAGTATTTTCAAAATCTAGAGCTCATGAATCTGATGATGTTATCAGAGATCAATTAAATTCAGCAAACAATGTATAGGATAGTGTTGCTCGTCCTGCAGCTTCTGCTTCGTTTAAACGCTGTTTGGACAGTGTGAACCGTCCGTTTATGAGGACAGAGGCTGTCATAAAGGCTACAATGCCTAGCGTAGTTCAGCGACTAGCAAACACCTCCTAAAAGTCTATCGAAACCTTACAGCCCTCTCTTGTTACTAGAAGGTGTCACTTTGGGCGCCAGATTGCATGGAGCAACACTGTTTTGACTGAATGAAATATATTTTCCTGTCTTCGTGAAATACTGAAATTGGAGTGAGTTTTATTTAAAAGACTATTTACTTTCTTCTGAAGAGTAGTATGAAATTCATTATCCGTAATTTTCTTGATGTTAAGGTTCATGACTGGGTTGTGGAGGCTGGTGTTTTTCCAAAGATCCTTACCTCCCTTTCTATACAAGAAGGAAAAATACTGCTTGGGCTCTCAGAGGATAAATTTGGTTGTATCTGACTGACATTACGGCATTACGATTGCGAAGACTGTATAAAAAACCCCAACCTAATCCAGAACAACCCATTTGCTTCAGTCTCCGTATTTGCACGCAGGTGGAACTTTCCCTCACCTTAACTAAATGAGATCGTCGCATTCTGAATTCAGCAAGGCGTACCGAATCCTATCCAAACCCAACTGTCCCCTTGGGAGTGAGGTCCTTAAAGATTTTGAAAGCTTACCTCTTGGAACTGTAGTAAGATTATTTCTTTCAACTGACAATACTTTCAAAGCAGGCAGGAGATGACAGCCTTTTCCATACTTTTTAGACCCAAGCGCAGGCGTAGGTATGTCCAGCGTGAGGGTGTGGATGGCATTACTGTCGAGGTTTAGAGTTTCTAAAAGGGGTAAATTTCTAAAAGTAGTTAAGGAGAGTTCGGAAATCAGGTTGTTACTGAGATTCAGGTGGTTTAGCATCCATTCTTCACTTCTTCCATCAGCGCACAGAAAAGTTTTAATGTTATTGTAACTAAAGTCAGCCGTTATTGCTGTCTGTGATATATCTTCTGGAATAGCAGATATTCCGGTAAAAGAACAATTCAGTAAGAACTCCCCATCCCACCGGCAGTCTGAATGGTGAGGTGTATCCAGAAGAATCCGCTGTGACTTGGTTCCCACTGATCCGGGAAGATTAAAGTAAAGGACCACAGCTATGACACTCAAGTGAAGATTATCCATAGTATCTATACGTAAAATGTAAAATTATGGTAAGTTCAGCATAACGAGTTAAACAGAAAGCGGAAATACTTCGACATTAGAAAAATCAACACTAAACAAATACCCAAAGCATTACCAACATTCTGCCTTAAACATTCAGTTTTGGAGTCTCAGGTATTTTTCAAAAAGAACAGTCGTAAACTGGTAACCTTCCCCCTCCCGCCACCTCTCCCAAAAAACAATCCAAACCTTTTCTTTCTTTTCCAGCCCTTCGGTCGAGAAACACAGCTTCTCAGGAACTTGTGAACTAACAACAGTGGAGACTTTTGAACTCTACTTCAGGTATCATACGCAATTACCACTGAGCAAAGTCCACCTGATACAATCAGTGACGAGTACATGTGGAATGATTTTCATACTTACAGTTAATAAAACACTAGTTTCCCTGTCAGTAACACGACAATGTATTTTTAATGAAAAAAAATTATTCTTACAAATAACACTTCTGAACCACAGTTGCATCTTAGAATTTATTGTTTCATTTCAGAACAAAGATTAGAAATTCAATTGTCTTTCACCTATTAAAACAACCACCACCTTTACAAATGCTGAGAACTCTTCACATGTAAGTTGTTTCAGCGTACCCAGTGCAGTGTTTTACACAGAGGCTTGTAGAACGTACTTTAAATGCAAGAATCTTAAGTGCATCTGTGGGATTGAAATAAATAATGTGCCACACGATGTTTTAAATAGGTATAGAAAAATGTACCTTAGGCAGTTAGAAGATAAACAACAAATAAATGCGCAACACAAGACGTGTGGCGCCAACATTTCTCAAACTGTGTAGTGAAGGCAACAAAATACATTAACAATACATAAATAGCGGCTAACAAATTGGTAATTTATTTCATTTGGTATTTGTATGATCGGTTTTGCTACGTTTTGACAAAAAATCCACACTTCAAAACGAATTATCCAGACCGTGATTTAAGAGTACCTTTGTGACAAATCTTTCAGCTATGTTGCGTACAGTATTTTAAAAAGAACTCTTGGTAATTACAAGAATCCAATACTAGCATATAGGCATATCAGTGTTAACGAAAGAAGAGCTTTAATATGCTCTTCGTGTGTAATCTACTTGACTGAGGCAGTATCCGTCATTTTCAAGATCTATTTCAGCTTTGAGGATACTGCTGCTTTCACACATATTTTTTTGTGTGTGTGTGTGTGTATTTTTATATATAAAAATAAAACGACAAACTTCCATTAGCATGAGAGTGAAAATTCTAAAAATGTTCATTTCCTCCTCTTAACTGTAAACAGATACTAATTGAGGGACTACTTAGCAGCAAAGATGTGTGCAAGTTTTCAGCAAAACGTGTTGAAGTGGCTAATAAATATTAACTCTAGTAAAATTATGAAGTTCATGAAGGCAGTATGCAAAATGTTAGTACTTTCCCGTAATCTTTAATGTGAGCAATTCAATGGCTTTTGCTACATTTTATTCTGCTTATTCTGTTTTTCTTAGAACAGCTTCACTGCTGTCCACCCCCCAAAACCCCCAACAACTACTGAGCATCCAAATTTGGCTTTGCCTTTGAGCAATGAGGGAAACGTGACCCCTCTGACCTCCCATGTGGCATAATGCCTGACCTAAGGACCCCCCTCTAGAAATCACTTCCACCCATACACACCCTGCACGAGAACTTACTGACTTGTGGTAAATACAGGAATTGGGACCTTAGATAAGAAGTTCTTGTTGCAGCAGGAGCCGATTTGTATTTTGTGGAATTCCGTGTACTTTGAGAGCTATAAACCAAGGGTAGATAGTGTATTTTCCCAGAACAAATGACCAGTTCTGAAGTTAATGACATTTGTACAACTTTTAGGAAGAGAAGTGTGTGCTTATCTAGAAAAACTTGTCAAAAAGCTACTTGCAAAGTCACCTTTGTGGCCTCTGTGATTAAGGTTACTTGATGCTACTGCAAAACAAAACTATTTTAAACTGAAGAAATACATGGGGTGGGGAAAGGAGGAATCTTAGAATGAGCTGGTCTATTTTTAGTACAGAACACCTTACCTCTGCAAAAGCAGTTACAAGGCTGTGATAGTTTCTGTAAGGCCCCAGTTCACCACAGAGACAGTTTCACTGTTGGCAAACTCAGATATGCATGTATTTACTCTGCTGTCATAGGATCCAATACCATCACAGTTGGAATTATAGACCTGCAGTTTAACTTCAGAATTTAATTCTGAGGTTCTCAGTAATGCAGCAGTACTGACATTTATGTGGAAAAAGAGATCTGATCTCAGACACTGCTGCAACAGTCATGCTTTAGATTATTACCTGTTGAATAACGGATTCATACACTGTTCACATTAAAGCACCCAGGAAAACACTTTTTTTGGGTAGTGAGCAAGTTATAAGTACATCTTTAAAAATGTACTTCTAATATAAACACGTTTTATAAACACTTCACATAAATTAAGCAACTGTAGAATGCCTGAACTGCACAGATAGAATGGGAGCTCAAGCAACACTTCAATAATCGCAAGACTATTTCAAAATTGAAGTTACATTTCCACACTCGATATTACTTTGCAAATATTCTTTATGCTAGCATAATTTTTTTTTAACTACATAAGAATATATAGCAGAAATAATGCAGTATTTTAAAGTGAATCTGCCATTACCCCTCTCTTAGTACACATATGGTAAACCACATAATTTTGGGGGAAATCATTACATCAATCTTTGGCAAGAAACGAAGAGAAGACAAAAATCTGCTATTTCAGCCATCCTAGGCAAACCCACTTCCAACAACAAATCGACATTCCTGTTGAAGTACTTCAGATCGCAGTTGTGTTCTCAGCAGCCCTCAAGGTCTTGGGATGTAGGACAAAAACCTCCTCTAAAGGCAACTGAAGGCAGTCAAGATTGTTGCTAAGATCACGTTCTTTAAATACATTCTACTGATCCCAATTCAGGAAGGTACTTCAGTATGCATGTAGCCTGAAAGCTTACTAAATCAGTGCCACTATTACGGCTAGCAAGATGATGACATAATACTGCTGAACGTAACGGCCTTTGCTTAAAAATATTATGTAATAAATGTTAGTATAAACTGCTGTAAAAACAGAAATCCTTGAAGGCATGCGATTACTTCGTACAAATATATGTAAACACAAAGGAGAACTCTCCTGGTAGTGGTTTGTGTTTTAGTGGGTGGCTCCGCACGGATTGACAGAAGTCTGACAACCCATGTTATAACCTGTCACCTGAACCTTGAACAGTGTCCCATCCGCACACATACAGAGCTTGAAACGCAGCCAGTTGCCGTTATTAAACTGCTCCCCGTAAGAAGAACTTGGCAGTCGCGATGGGCTGACCATCACAGTTCCATTCAGGATAATGCTGTTTTCCTATTAAAAGGGAGAAAAAAAAGAGTACAACTTCTGATTTAAACAAGGCAGGTTGTTGTTGAAAAAGACAAGCTGGTTTAACGAATAAATGACATCTTTAGGATGGCTGTAGAAATCAACAGAATAAAAACAGTACATATGACAAGGCTTCATTTTTTAATTAAATCTGTGAATAATGCCCATGAATTTCTCAATTATAGTCAGCAACGTACTTTGCTATTCCAGTGACAGATCGATATTGAGACAGCCAGCAGTAGTGTGGCTTTTCACTTTACAGATATATTAGCAAATGCAGTAAATCTAAAAATATGGACGTGAAATGGGAATCGGTGTTTAAATTCATACATGAAATCCATCCACACATGAAATAAAAGTGCATGTCTATCTATTTTTTTATCCTCCTTTAACCTTTTCCATCATTCCATATGCCCTGCAATCTTAACAATCTCCAAAACTCTTAAATGAATGCTGGCGAGGCTTACTGCGGCAGCACAGAAGGTAGTGCTCCTAACCGTATCCTCTGCTCCTCTGTCAAAGGTTGCTGACCCCAGTAAAGCCTCCAGAAGAGAAGATGAATTCCCTTTGGTATGCGTTTCAGTGCAGAGGCCAATAGCTTAGCTTTAATTGCATCGTGGATTTTTAGCATCTTAACAGTAGTAAATCATTGTTACCTGAAAACTATTGAACCACTAATTAACAACAAAAGTAACAAACCACCTTTTAAAATCCTACTAAATACGCTGACTGCAACTAAACTTTTATGTATGACTACTTTATATAAAATTTGAAACCATATAAAGCTACATCAGTTTATTATCAGCCTGAACGTGAAAGTAAGCTGTTCAAAAAATGCTGATTTGAAATACTTACTGCTTTAAGTTCCATGTTACCCCCCATTCGAAACTCAATGGTCTTGCCTGTGATGAAAACACCTTCATTTCCACGGACAATAGCACGGCCATCGACCTTTATGTTGAGATCACTGGTCGCATTGCTGGTAATCTAAGAACATAAACAAAAAAAGTGTATTACAGATCAATGAAAATATGTCACTTGGGTTTGTCTGAGTAACTTTAATTACCTTAAAAATATTGCTACACAATTTAATAAAAAACTTCAATGTACTTTTTGCCCTTCTGCCATTATGCCTATGAAGCTTCTGCCCATTTGTTATTTTCCACATTCACGTTTAAAAACAAGGATTACTTAATTTTGGAAGGTATGTAAAGTATTTTATTTTTGCAATAAAAATAACAATTCGTATGACAATTTTATGGGATACACAGTTAACACTCGTAGCAAATATAGGCTTCCTGTTGGGACTGATTACGTAAACTTACTCCTCTGTTTTCATTTAATCTGTTCCTTCTATGTATTTATAGGCTTGGGGGTTTTTTTCTGGAACATACTATTTAATTGTTAGCCTTGCAGAGGAAACACAAAGAAGAGCAAACTAAATTCTCTTCGTCCTTAACAGGATTACTCAATGCTTCCTACGGCACACTCAACCCTCTATAAAACCACTGATACTACTCTACTGATGTTACTCAAAAGAACTATGCACTGTACTCTACCTGTAAAGCCTTTATTATGAGTGA